CACACACACACACACACACACACACACACACACACACACACACACACTCAAATGCACTTTTTTCTTTATTTATAAAGATCTCGACAAGCTTTATAAAACATGCCATAAAGGAATATCTTTGGCATTGGTAATGTGTATTTGTTGACCACTGAAGTCATTTGGGCAACATCAAATACCAAATTGCTCATTTTAAAATCTGTCTCCACATTTTAGTTTCACAGATAGATGGAATAGAGTTTCGGGACTTGCGGGTTTGAGTTCAGCAACCCAGGATCAACACTTTCTAGGTGTGAGACTTTAGTAAATAATATACCTATGAGATTCATGGTTTTTTTTTTAAATCTGTAAGTTGAAGAAATAATATCACTATCATATGCTTTTTAAAAGGATTAAATATATTAAAAATTTGTTATCCTTAAACCGGGAATAGAGTAAGCAAACAGTAAATGATATAATTATTCTTTTTATATGTTGATTTCTATTTAATCAACATTTATTAAGCTTTACCTTAAGAATAATCTAGCAAAGGATTATTTCAGTTTTCCCTTAAACTAGCTTTTAAGTTTACACAGGGAGTTTAAAGCCAACAGGAATTTTATGTAACAATGAAATTCAAATATTTCAGTATCTATGAGAAAAGTTGGGTTAATTTGCAGAGGAGTGACACAAACATTGATTAAATTTGGATTGCTAAATGTTAAACAGTGTTTATACAGTGAAAGTGTGATTCAGAAAAAACCCTTATTTTAACATACAAAATGTATTAGCACTCTTTGAAGACTTATCTTTTAATTTATTTTATAAAACTGCTGTTGTGAGCTTACTAATAACATCAGTGTGAACAAGTTTGAAGAATAATTATGATTTTATTGAATAATCTGCAAGAATTAAATATCAGTAGGTAAGCAATATAATCCTCATTAATTTAAAATGCATAGATTTTATGATCTATGTATATACTATGTATAAATGCATAGATGGTATATATGAATGGCATAATTACTATAAGCTTACAGGGAAATATGCAGAGCTGCTGTTATTTTTAGGAAGCAAATGATGAAATTTATTTTTTTCTAAAACTTTCATCTGTTCAGTGATTTAGATTCATTTGAGCTATAAAGATTTGGAGAGTAAGGTGCAGGCATAGCTTTAATTTATTGGTGATGAAAAAATCTATTTATTGGCAAGATGGGAAAAAAATCACAAGTCTTATATGCTGTTGTGTAATTCTGCAGAGTTGTAATGGTGTTAACAATTGTGACAAATTACACATTCTGAGACACTTCAATTTTAGCAATTATAATAGCAAAGAATTATTATTCATACAGTATTCATAACATAGAAAATTGTCATAGTCCTTACAGAGACAGTACTTCCAAGTAGTCTTTAATTTCTTTTTTCTCATTTGTCCTTTCAGAGTCTCAAAATATCTTGTGTTGCAATTACATGTCCAAGTATATATTTGGTGGTGATGAAAATAGCTGTAATAGTAGTAGTAGCTACCGTTTGTTGAGTTCTTACCACATGCCTCGTGCTTTATGTGGAATATTTGATCTCAGGCCTTAGGACAACTGTGAAAGGCAAGTATTGTAGAAGACAAAGTGTTCTGAGAGATTGAAATGACAATTAGAAAAAAAATTAAAGACTACTTGGAAGTGCTATCTCTCTAAGGAATATGACCATTTGCTGTGTTATGAATACTGTTATGAATAATAATTATTATTTGCTATAATTGCTAAAATTGAAGAGTATCTCAGAAAGTGTAATTTATTTGTCCCAATTGCAACTCTGCAGAATCACACAATTCCATACAAGACTTGTGATTTTTTCCCCCAACTTGCCAATAAGTATTATTATCACAATAAAGATGCTGATGTTTCGAAGTTTAAGAAACCTCCTAAAGCTCTCACAAGTAGTGGTGACAATATGGCTAAGGGCTTAGGAATGCCCAAATTCTCCCATGCTGCATCCTACCTATGGTTTAGGTGTGAGATAGGGACCCCTACTTTCTTTCCCGTAAGAGCAGATCCATATCTTTGGCTATAACTGCCTTCTGGTCAGCCAGTTGATGTATGGACTCAAGGGATGCTTTCTTATATGAGAGGTGGCATATCTTGGCTCCACTTCCCTGACCAGCACTAGAGAAAGGAAGGTTAAGAGAGATTTGGACAAGTGTCCTTGTCACATTACGTCCCCTCCCTAGAAAACGTGGTCCAATACCTTGTAATCTGATGTTGCAAACTCACAACTTTTCTTCCCTTGTAAGAACGTGTATATATGTGAGTTGATTGTATGTGTGTATAAGATGGGAATATGTATGTGATGTTTGTGTGTAATGTGCGTATATTTGAATGTCATGTGCATGAGATTTTTTTGTGACTGCTGTGTGTGAGGTGTCTAGATGTGGGGTGTTGTGTGTATCTGTGAGGTGGTTGTGTATGAGGCATGTACATCTGTGTGGTATGTAGAAAACGTGAAGTATATGTGTGCATGTGCTATATATTCAGATGCATGAGTTGAGTATGTGGCTTGAGTATTGTGTGTGTAGGGAGAGGGCAGAAGTAGAAAGGAAAGGTGAGAGCGGAGACTGGACAAATGAACATAGTGGGGCACTCTTCCTTTAACTCCTAGAACAGATATAACTTAAAGTGATCTAGACTTGAACTTTGGGGTATCAAGTTCCAGCCAGCTGTGTAACTATTTAATATTTGGAAGCTGCTTTGCCTGCTTAAATCTCAATTTTATGATTTCTGGAAGAGAAGTTTTAACTTAAATTCTCTAAGAGAGATTGTGGGGGTGTCCAAGGAGAGAATACAGTCATGAATTCTTAGTTTCTGTTTCTGGTTGGGCCAGAGAAGCTCCTTCTTCATCCTCTTTTCATTTATCAACAGAGACAGAAACTAAAAACCACCGCTTCAGGCTGCTAAATGCCTAAAATAAAACAAAACAGAACAACAACAAAGTAAAGCGAGTTGGAAATGACTGCTCTAAGGGTTAAGTGAGTATGTTCAGGTTGGAGTTACTGATAAAATGTAAACTATTACATAGATGTAATATATTGCATATTTTTATTAGTAGTGGCATTTTCCAATATTACATTTTATATTAAAGCTCCAGAACAACAAAACACACTAAGGATATTGCAGTGAGGAACTTACCATTAAGTGCTTCTACCTTCAAGGAATTTTTAGATTAATTTTTATTGGCAATATATGGAACATTGTATCAATAAGAAAGACTGTCTAATGAATCTCTTTTGCACATCAAGCTCTTACAGTGTTAATTCGTTAAACAACTAAGACAATTTTAACTAGGAGCTTTGGTCAAAGATGTATAGCAGCAAACTGAACCAATACTGACAGAATTTGGCATTAATTTTTTTCAGAGCATTATTTTTTAGATATATGGCAATGGTTGAAAAAAACATAGCGCATCACAGTCCTCAGATTGTTAAACACAGAGTTACCATGTGATCCAGCAATTCTACTTCTAGGTATATGCCCAAAAGAATTGAAAACATGTACACAAATGTTCACAGCAACATTATTCTTAATAGGTAAAAAGTGGAAACAATCCAAATATCCATCAACTGATGAATAGACAAACAAATGTGGTGTATTCATACAATGGAATATTATTCAACAATAAAAAAGAATTCAGTATTAATGCATGAGATTACATGTTTAAACCTTGAAAACATGCTAAGTGAAAGAAGCCAGAATGACATCTCATGATTCCATTTATGTGAAATGTTCACGGTAGACAAATCTGTAGTAGATTAGTGATTGCTTGGGGTTGGAGGGAATATGGAGGATTGAAGGCTGATGGCCAAAGGGTGTGAGATGTTTTGGGGGTGTAATGAAAATATTCTAAATGTGTTAATGGAGGCACAACTCTGTGAATACACTAATGTCAACGAATTGTACATTTTAAATGGGCAGATCAGTGTGGTATTTGAATTATATCTCTGTAAAGGTGTTAAAACAAAATATAAAACAATTTTCCTAAGTAGTGACCCCCTCCTCATTTATTGGACCAATAGTTTGGGAGAAACCAATCATGGCCTTCCTGATACAAATCAACACCTACAGATAGGATGGGAGGCAATTGTGCTAACAAAGTACCTCAAACCACAAAGTCTGTCTGTAAACTGATGCTTTTGTCAAGGACAAATGACCAGGAGCAGGGAATAGATGAGTAACTCTCAACTTTTTTGTGTACAGTAATGGTAATATAGTCTGGAACCAGCAAGCACTGAAAAATGCTAGGTGATAAGAGTCATTGTTATTTTATTCTTCCCTGTCCTCTCTTCCCCTCCCCTGCTCTCCTGTTCCCCTTTCCCGTTTTTATTTATTTGGTTATGAGACTTGATCTGGCTCTGTCGCCCAGGCTGAATGCAATAGCAGTATCACAGCTCACTGCAACCTCTGTCTCTTGGGCTTAAGCCATTCTCCCACCTCAGTCCCCAGAGTATCTGGGAATACAAGTGCATAGTACCACGCCTGCCTAATTTTTGTATTTTTTTGTAGAGATGGGGTTTCGCTATGTTGCCAAGCTGGTCTTGGACTCCTGGGCTTAAGGGATCCGCAGGCCTCGACCTCTCAAAGTGCTAGGATTATACGTGTGAGCCACTGCACCTGGCCTTCCCTCTGCTCGTTCCCTCACCTCCCTCTTCTCCCCTCTCCCCTTCTCTCCCTTCCCTTCTTCTTCTCCCCTATTTTTCCCTCCTCTTTCTCCCTTTCCACTCTTTCCACCTTCCCCCCTCATAAATAGATATTATAATGACTTAATTTAGAATTATAGTTAAGTGTGCATTTGAAGTAGCTGTTCTAATTTCATAATTTTGAAGTATTTTCTGAGAATAAACTGGGCAAGTGCAGAATTGAGACAAATCCTCTGTATAATAATTACTAATAGGAAGTGTTTTGAAGTATGAATTCTCTGCCTCTTTCTTGTTTCTTTGTCTTGTCACTGAATCTGCAGTCCTACAGGTAGTATGTCCTGCTTATTGTTTCTTTACATCACACCCCGCTTCTGTATATAAGCATCACTTTCACCATGATGGATTCAAATGATCTCTCAGGAATTTAGTCATATTACAGTCTCACATAAAATTACTGCCCTTCAAAACATTTTTTTTTTTTTTTTTTGCTGGGCAGGGCATGGCGAAACCCCATCTCTACTAAAAATACAAAAATTAACTGGGTGTGGTGGCAGGTGCCTGTAGTCCCAGCTACTCAGGAGGCTAAGGCAGGAGAATCGCTTGAACTTGAGAGGTGGAGCTTGCAGTGAGCAGAGATTATGCCACTGTACTCCAACCTGGGAGACAGAGTGAGACTGTTCCGAACAAAAACAGAAACAAACAAAACAAAAGAAACACACATATTTTTTTGCTAACATGATTTGAAGAATAGTCAGTTCAATGTGCAGCTACATAGACCTGACCAATAGTTGTATTTTACAACTTTCAGTTTTGAAATGTTGGATGACATCTTTCTTTTTAAAAAATTAGTATTTCTGTAAAGTATTTTTTTTTTTTGCATGGAAATATTTCTGGAATGTGACACTTAAATTCT